CCCCATTAGAAATCACCGATACTCAATTCCTACTTATATCTTCCAAATTAAGTTCAATAGATTGAAAAGAACACGCTCCTCAACTAAACCTAACGACTACCGAACTCCAATTCTCCCCGCCGGTCAAAACAGACGGCGGCGCAACGAGCAGGAAAAAAAAAGCTAGAAAACGGAGAAAGAAGAAGAAGCATTACGATTTCATCGGGGCTGAGTATTCCAAACTGGACCACCCGGACCTTAGAAACCTCAGCCGGAGAGAACGGAAACCGAGTATCCATGACGGCGAAACTCCGATCAAAGACAAATCAGAAGAAAAATCGAAAACCCTAGAACGTGAATCGAAAAGGGGATTGAAATTAAAACCACTATTGGTGTTTCCCTCTCTTTGTTTGAGTCAGTTTACAGTTTACTTTGAGCTAATTTTTTCGTTTTTTTTCCCTCTGATTTTCACGCAACCGGATCTGGGGGGAGTTCTCTCGTCTCTGCCCGAGGAGAGAATGAGCAAAGAGAAGAAATAGTAGCCCTAAGCCTGTATTTATAGAAAAATCGACGGCTTTTTTAGAGTCGGTCTAGTTAAATGGGCCGTAACTTTATGCCGGTTTTTTTTAGGTCGGTTCTAGTTAAATGGGCTGTAACTTTCTCAGGCCTCAGGCCCAATTATAAACATTATTTTTGCTTGGCATGAATAACACAAAAAAAAAAAAACTATAACTAAATTTCTAACAAATTAACCTAGATCTAAAGGTTCATGTTTTACCACACATGGTAATTTTCTTTACTTTTTAATTATAAATTTTTTTTGCTTAGTTAGCAAATTGTCTCATTTTCTTTTTGCATATGTGCAAAATTCTTAAAATGGATTGGAACGAGCGAGCCTATGTCGGTTCTAGCAAAATTCGGTTTTGTATCGGTTTAGTTGGTGAAAGCTAAACAATAATACAGTAGTTCCATTATTTCACCATGTTTGGTAAAAAAATGGAAAATCAATACTATAATAACAAAAAAAAACCGATATTATATTAAGTATACTATAATAACAAAAAAATATACTTAATAATATTAAAAAATAATGGTTCAAAGAGTTAATAAACTAGGCATCATAATAAGTAGGCCAAAACTATAAATGAAGAAAAGAGTCCCCCTATGCTAAGAGAAGTTAATAAGTTATACAATTAGGCTGAAACTTTAATGTATTTAATTCAATTAATCTTGTAAAATACCAAACTCCTTAAATATTCTTAAGAGAAACTCAACCTAGTCTCTTTGACCAGTTCATTTTCACTTCTTCCTAAAGAGGTAGCTAACTTTTTTACAGGAAAAAAATATCATTCGGTGCAATTTGAACTAATTATAGTTCAAATCTTTGTGTCTACAATTTTGAAAATTCTCGCATTTTATAATACTCTAAATTAGTTTATATTTTCCGCATGAAATTTGATATAAATGTGTATAAAGATTCAGTTTAGTGAGGAAAATGAAAATTTTAAAAAGTGAGAATTAGTTGAGCAGAGTTGATTATTGAAGAATTGATCATATTAAACTAGTTGTTCTAGCAAAAAAAGAATTGCAAATATCAGGGTTCGTTTTGAGTCTCCCATTCAAAGGTCTCTAGCCAAAAAAAAAAGGAATTGCAAATATCAGGGTTCATTCATAAATATCGAAAACTATAGGGACGAAACTAACAAATAATAATTACACCGATACAAAGTAAAGAAGCCACTGAGCCAGTCTGTTTCTGTATATAACAAACAACGCAAAAGAACGGAAACAAAAATAAAATTAAGCTTTCCATTTTTCACTGTAACGTCTTCTTCTTTCTCTTTAGATTCTCTAGGGTTCTTGAAAAACATTCTATATCAAACACAATAATGGCGAAGAAACCAAAGAAACTTCGTAATCAGCCGCCTAAATCTTCATCAACTAAAGCTTTCACAGTTGTTATACTTTTACTCTTCTTCATACTGATCCTTCTCGGTCTCTGGATCTTTTCACTACCTAGCAGCACCAGCAAGAACTCTTCAAGACCTATCGATTTGACCACCATTGCACGGAATAGCGAGGAAAGGTTTAGGGAATAAGCTTTTTTGGTTTTTAAGGGATTTTGCTGATGTTTTGTGTTTGTTACAATGGAAGTGGTGTTTTTTTTGTTTCCTGATTGAATTAGGAAGAGTTTTGGAGATGAAGAAGACGGAAATGGCGAGCGTTGGCTCGAAGTTATTTCGTGGGAGCCTAGAGCTTTTATTTACCACAATTTCTTGGTAAATTTTTTTTTTTTTTTGATTCTATGATTGATCAGAACTTAACATCTTCATGCTTATTCATATAGTTTTGTTATTTCTTGTTTGACAAGCTAAGAAATATGTACTTTTGTAACATCATTTAAATGCGATCTTTGGCTTTTGTGTTTGAAGTGATTTATCAAAAGGTTAAGTGGTTTGATCTTTAGGCTTTTTGTTTCTTTTAAATTTTGGTAAAAGACAAATGAAGAATGTGAGCACTTGATTAGCCTTGCTAAACCTAGTATGGTGAAGTCAATGGTGGTTGATGAGAAAACCGGAGGAAGTAAAGACAGCAGGTTCTGTTACTCTAGCTCAAAGTGTTGTCTTCTTCTCCTTCATGTTCGATTTGGAAAAGATTTTGAGAACAAGTTCTAAATCCGTTAATGTGTAGAGTAAGAACAAGTTCGGGAACTTTTCTTAGAAGAGGACATGACGAAATCGTCCAAGAGATTGAGGATAGGATTTCAGATTTCACCTTCATTCCTTTAGGTTTGTGGCTCAAAACTTGATTCAAGTTTTGGATTTTTGATCGTTTCTTAATGGCGGCGATATTACTCATTGTTATCGGTTTCTTTTGTCTTGGAGATTATCCTTGTGGAGTTAATGTAATTGCAGAAAATGGAGAAGGGCTTCAAGTTCTTCATTATGAAGTTGGACAGAAATATGAGCCTCACTATGACTATTTCTTAGATGAATTCAACGTAAAAAACGGAGGCCAAAGAATCGCTACGGTCCTTATGTACCTGTAAGTAAACTAGAAAATAAGTCCTAATAATTCTTTTCTAATCAGCCACAAGAAAAACATTTGCCAATGTGTAAGTTAATCTTCCTTTCTTGATGCTACTACTTAGCTCGGATGTAGATGAAGGCGGCGAAACGGTATTCCCTGCAGCGAAAGGAAACATTAGTGATGTTCCGTGGTGGAACGAGCTTTCGCAATGTGGTAAAGAAGGAATCTCTGTTTTACCAAAGAAGAGAGACGCTTTACTCTTTTGGAGCATTAAGCCTGACGCGTCTCTAGACCCTTCAAGTTTACATGGT